CTCGTCCCAAGCGATCTCAGCCTCTCTTATCCTTGTAAATATTCCAGGTAAATCCATGCAAATAATCAAAGCGATTTAAGGCTCACATAAGCCTTATGCGTGTAAGTCCACATTGTTTGTCAACCTTCAGAATATTTATAAGCTGCACTTTCTGTGAGTGGCTTTCAACACAGGCCAAAAACAATAAAAGAATTAAAACTAATAGATAAAGCAAGATAAAAATCACACCGGCAGGCAATGTTCCCTCTAAGCTATGGAGTCTTGCAAGCAAAAAATCCACTTTGTGAGCTACTGACATTAAAATTGTGAGCGAGTGCTTTGGCTACTGCATAGATTAGTTTGTTCTGGAGCCATCCCTTCTGAGCAAAAACAAAAAACTGTGAGCTGGAGGCTAAAAACTGTGAGCTAGCTCACCCTAACTCAGCTTAGAGGGAACACTGCTGGCAGGTACATTATAAAAGAGTGGTGGTTTGTAAAATAAGCGGGAGTTAACCAAAGTGGAAATGGAGCAGTAAGCTCAATAAGCGGTCGGGTTAGAACGGATAAGAGGAAGTCCTTCACCCAAATTTTCTCCCTTTCTCACAATACAAGAACTCGTGGGCACTCCATGAAACTGCAGAGCGGTCGGGTTAGAACGGATAAAAGGAAGTCCTTCTTCACCCAAAGAGTGATTAACACATGGAATTCACTGCCACAGGAGGTGGTGGCGGCTACAAGCATGGATGGCTTCAAAAGGGAATTAGATAGGCATATGGAGCAGAGGTCCATCAGTGGCTATTAGCCACAAGGTATAGATAGGGGCTCTGGGGCAAGTGATGCTCTGTCTTCTTGGTGCTTGGGGGGTCCAACAGTGGGAGGGCTTCTAACATTGGCGTCTCTTATGTTCTTAAAAAATAGAATTAAAAACAGGCCAGCCATAATTAAATGTAAACATTCAGACGTCAGTTACGTTTCAAACCACAAACCTACAGCAGATGAGAATATTCTATAAAAGGCTGGGCAGAATATTCCATAAAATTAGGACTCTTTCACTACAGGCCCCTCAAGCTGGCGTGTGTTGACTAGGTCAAAAGGGGGACTCTTCTTTCTGTTAGCATTTCCTAACGATCTCTCTTTAGAGGACTTTTGCTTCTCAAGTTGTCAAAGGTGGGAAATTCCTGGAGATTTAGGGGGGGTGACTTGGGAAAGTGGAGTTTGTGGGGGAGGGAGCTTTCTGGGTCTGTAATGGCATCGAGCCCACCCTCCAAAGCTGCCGTTTCCTCCAGGGGAATTTTTCTGAACTGGACTGATCTCTGCTGTCTGTTACTGGTTGTATTCCTGGGAGTATCCAGGCCCCACCTGGAGGGTGGCAACCCTCTTTGCTTCCTTGTACCACATGGTGCCTGCAGCATGCCACAAATATCTTCCTCGTCTCCCCACCCCCACCCACTTCTTTAGTGTGTCTGAATTAGCATTACTGTCATTATAGATTTTGGAACACATTACTGTAAACTAGCCTAGATCAGATCAGAGATCACTACAGCCAAATCACATGTTTTCAGAAACGCCTGTGGCTTGTTGTGTGCCTGTATTTGAACTGCAGGGGAGAACAGCAAACTAGGGTAAATCCTTACTGCTGGAGTACAGCTACAGAATAACATTATCTGTAATCAACGCTCCCTCCAAGCTGTGGAGTCTTGTGAGCAAAAATTCTACTTTGTGAGCTGATGGCATTAAAGCAGTGAGTGAGCGGTTTGGCTCCCGCATCAATTAGTTTGCTCTGGAGCCATCCTTCCTGAACTAAGACAAAAATGTGTGAGCCAGAGGCTAAAAAAGTGTGAGCTAGCTCACACTAACTCATCTTAGAGGGAATACTGTCTGTAACCCGTCTTCCTTCCTGAGACTGAAGGTGGATTACAGAATATAATGCAGTGAAGTCACACCACTTAAAACACCCAATGAACAATGCAGTAGGTCTAGGATTATAGAATTAGAAGACAGTGCGAACAATGTGGATTACAGAATCAAAGGGGGGAAATGCAGTCGTACACCATAAGACATTCAATGCAATAGAATTACAAGAATTGTGAACAAGAGACTGTGTAAGGCTGTTGTTGTTAATAGTAACTTTATTTACAGTCCACCTTTCTCATTGAGAAGAAAGGTGAATGACAAAAGATGAAAAACAAATCGAGTCAGAAAACACAGATCTCTCGTAAACAAAAAGAAAATGTCATGGGCTAGGACTAAGGAGTTGGAAAACAATGCAAGCAAATAATAAAAACGGTCTAAAGCAACAAAACAATCCATATTGGCAAAGAACTACTCAAGACAACAGGCCTGTCTGAGGTGTGGCTTACGCTGAAGAGGAGGTCACAAAGGCAAAAGAAATTGGACTGATATTGAATTGAGGTAAAAGGGATATAGGCTATTTATGTGTAAGAGACATTGCAATATACTACCTTAGTGTCACTTACAGAAGCAATCTCCGGGGGCTGTCGTTCTGATCTTTTTATACGAATGCCCTTCTGTACATTTCAGTTTTGCACTGTAAGCATCATGAAGCGCAAGGATGTGTCGCTGGCAACCAAGATGGCGTTAATTCATGCCATGGCAGTCCCCATTACTATAGATGGGTGTGGAAGTTGGACAATGAAAAAAGCCGACAGAAAGAAAGTTGCTTCCTTTGAAACCCGGTGTTGGAGGAGAGTTTTACGGATCCCGTGGACCACCCAAAAAGGACTAATACGTGGGCTCTAGATCAAATCGAGCCTGACCTCTCCCTAGAAGCAACTCATATGGCTAAACTGAGGCTATCGTACCTTGGCCACATTAGGAGAAGACAGGAGTCACTGGAAAAAGACAATAATGCTGGGAAAAGTTGAGGGCAACAGGAGAAGAGGAAGACCTAAGAGGAGATGGATGGACTCTAATCAAGGAAGTCACGGCCCTCAGTTTGCAAGAGCCAAGAATGGCTGCTATGCACGAACACACACACACACACACTGTAAATAATGCAGAAGGTGGAGATACAAAGGTAGTTGTTAAGTCGCTCACTTAACAAAGCAGTCAGAGAGTGATTCAGCAAGATTCTTCAACTCGAACACAACTCCAACACGGATCAACATCAGATAGCCAGAACAGCTTTTACATTGCAGCTATCCTGCTTTTAAACTCTCCCGGCTAATATAGCCACACCCACTGTACACCTATGAGGTTGCCGAGATAAGGTCCAATCACATTCCTTCCCGCTCAGGGAGCTTGCTTGAAATGATTGGCTTGTTACTTCCTGGGCTAGCAATACTATTGGATAGTTTAGGATCCTAGCCCAGGATGAAGCTCGGCATTACATTTCAATTAGATGTTCCACACATTGCATTCAAGGCAGCTTTGAATACATTACAGTAGTAAAAGTAAGATGATAACAAGAAGCATCATAGCGGTAGACTTCAATTCTGTTTCATTATGAAGGTGCCATCCGAAGCTATGCTATGCTATTACAGTACTATAGCCCTGGTGGCAGTGAAAAAAAAAGATTGTTATGAGCAGACCGGTGGGGGCAATGAAAAAGAAGATCATTATGAGCAATGTGGTGGTGGTGGTGGTGGGGTGCTGAATCGGGCTACGGAAGTCAAATTCATTCTGCTTGCCAAATCTATCCTGTTATGGTCACTTTAAAGGTAAAGGTAAAGGTTCCCTTGCTCGAAAGCCAGTCGAGTCCGACTCTAGGGTTGCGGTGCTAATCTCCGTTTCAAAGCCGAAGAGCCAGCGCTGTCCGAAGACGTTTCCGTGGTCATGTGGCCTGCATGACTAAACACCAAGGTGCGCGGAACACTGTTCCCTTCCCACCGAAGTGGTACCTATTTATCTACTTGCAATTTCTTGCTTTCGAACTGCTAGGTTGGCAGGAGCTGGAACCAGAGACGGGAGCTCACTCCGTCATGCGGCACCCTGGGTCTCGAACTGCTGAACTACCGACCTTCCACAGCCTGCAGTTCAGCGTCTTAACCACTTGAGCCACCGCAGCTCAATGGTCACTTTACAACAATAGAAAATGGGAGCTGCCGCTCTGTGGTTGAACATCTGCTCTGCCGGCCAAATGTCCTGGGCTCAACCCCTGGCATCTCCAGTTGAAAGGCTCTCGGGCAGAGGTGTTTGGGGAGACTGTGCCTGAGATTGGAGACCCAGGCCCAATCAGAGTAGACAATAGTCTAGTGGGTAGGGCTCAGTGTAAGGCAGCTTCGCACGTTGACGTCGGCATTCGGCCTTCCTTATAGTCCAGCTCTCCAAGTCTGACTCCATAGATATAAGGAAACGTTCGTCTGGTTTTCATTGCTTAATGCCTGGATTTCAATTGTGCGACTTCTCGAGACATTCCGTGATATTCCCTCTCTCTTCAGGGAAGAAAGTATTAATAGTCTACGCTCACCAAGAACCCAAGTCTCTGAATGGATCCCTGAAAACTGCCGCAGTGAAAGAACTGACCAAGCAAGGCTGTAGCGTTACTGTTTCTGACCTCTACGGGATGCAGTTTGAGCCAAGGGCAACGAGAAAGGACATCACTGGTGAGCATTGGAGAGATGTATTTCTCCTTCAGAATTCTTAAAAGAAGGCTCTTGCCTTGTGGTTCTTCTGTGCCACACAGACTGCTGGCCTTTAGTGTCCTACGGCTACAGGCCATTTTGTCAACTGGATATGACCCAATTGGTGGCTTCTAGCCCACGGAATCTTATATCACAGAGGTCCCCAACCTTTTTGAGCCCGTGGGCACCATTAGAATTCTGACACAACACGATGGGCACAGCCACAAAATGGCTGCCTCCGCTTGCCTTCAGTCACACAGAGAAAGATCCTTGTGCTGTGGTGGCAGCTGCTGCCAAAGCAGTATTTTTAAAAGCCAATCAATTCTAGGGCTGCCAGGTTCTACCTGGCATCCAGAGGGGGGCGCGTGGGTCCTTCCTGGATTTGTGTGTGTGTGGCGCAATGTGTGTGTGTGGGAGGGCTTCTAATGTCCTGGCCCCACTGGTGGACCTCCCGATGGCACCTGGTATTTTTGGCCACTGTGTGACAGAGTGTTGGACTAGATGGGCCTTTGGCCTGATCCAACATTGGCGTCTCTTATGTTCTTATCATCTGGAAGTGACGTCAGCAACGTCAGGGGGGTGTCACTGTAGTTTTTGGGCAAAACTCTATGGTTTTTTTGCCTTCATAACCATATGCCCCCAAACTTGAGGGTCACTCTCCAACATCGGCGACATGATGAAAGCCCTTCCGGGTGAAGTCAGCATGTTGGGGACACCCCCCAGCGACGTCCCTGTTTGGGAGTGGAGTTTCCCCCACCGGCCAGTTAGCCGGCAGTGAATCCAAGCCCTGAAAAGCGGGGGAAACCCCGCTAGGACCTGCGGGTTGGGAACCCTAATCAAATCTCCAGTGGCCAATCAGGAGCTTTGCGAGGAGAAGCCCCGCCTGCCCCCACCCACTTTCTAAAAGCACTTGGCAGGCACCATGTTTGGGATCCCTCTTCTACCACAATAACAGTTCAGTCCTACTTTCCTGGGAGTAAGCCTCACGGAGTAGGAATCTAATTAGATCTGCTTAGGGTGGCACTCTGAATTTTTTAACAGTGCTGTAGGATCCTTTGCTATAACCATGACTGGATTTAAGAGACGCAGGAACTCTACACCTTCTGTGAACAATTGGGGGAAGGGGACATAGCTTTTCCCACCTGTGTGAGAAGTTGAGCATGAGAAAATGACAACAATAAGCATAGCTACACTAAAGTCTTGGACTGGCTTATCTTCTCCCCACAAAACCGGTGTGTGTGTGTGTGAAACAGCATAGTCTACAAAGCCAGGATGGCCGCCCACAATGATTTGACTGTGACGCTATGTGCAGGAAGCCTGCCTTTGTCTTCCCCGCCTCTGCAGGTGATCTGCACAACCCGGAACAGTTTAATTATGGAGTGGAGTCATGGGAAGCGTACAAAAATGGGCGCCTCTCTGAAGATTTGATTGAGGAGCAGAGGAAAGTGGAAGAAGCCGACTTGGTGATTTTCCAGGTCAGTATCTTAAAATGAAATCTCCCAATTCCAGTCTTACGTGAGGACAGATAGGACTATCTACATATCTGTCGAGCACAGCTATCACCTTAAGCAGAAATTAGAACCAAGAAAATATTTAAAAATACCTTACTCAGTATTATTCCTCTTATATTTGATTATTGTGCCTATGAATTTTGCCACTGAGAAGGTCATTTGTATCTGGTAGTAGCCATGACACCTGGGCTCACACATTTAGCGATTCCGTCTTTAAGTAAAGGGGTGGCTAAATTAGACCTCAACTTGTTGAATCATATGTTCGCAGCTAGGACTCACTTCTGACCATTTCACTGCACAGCCCGGGCAACCGCTTGATTAGAGAATCTAACAAATGGTTAGATTACAGTCCAAGAGCACCCGAGAGACCTGAGATTTTTCAAGGGATAAGGTTTCGAGAGTCAACACTCCCTTTGTCAAACAGGTTTTCCAACGAAAGGAGTTTGTTATCTGCAGGGCTCTTTTTGTAGAAAAAGCCCAGCAGGAACTCATTAGCATAATAGGCCACACCCAACAGCAGGAACTCATTAGCATATTGGGCCACACCCCTGACAACACAGCTCATTAGCACATTAGGCCACACCCCCATGTTACCAGAAGTGTGGTCATCCAGCCACACCCACCTTTTGCTTCTTATTCTGTTTACCTTGTTTGTTTTCAAAACCCAGGGCCTTTTTTTGTAGCAGGAACTCCTTTGCATGTTAGGCCACACACCCCTAATTGTAGCCAATCCTAATGAGTTCCTGCTGTTGGGTGTGGCCTATTATGCTAATGAGTTCCTGCTGGGCGTGGCCAACTTGGGAGCCAGCCGGAACTCTCTTCCTGTGCGTTCCTGCCCAAAAATAGCCCTGGTTATCTGACAGAGGCAGTTTGGACTCTCCAAAGCTTATGCCATGAGAATCCTGTTGGTCTATAAGGTGCTACTGGACTCGAACCCAGCTCTTCTACTGCAGACCAACACGGCTATCGTCCTGAAACTAACGAACGTTGATTTTGATATTGGAGCGCAAAGAGCAGTGGGGTATTCCTTAGCTGGTACAGTGGTGCAAATGCTACTTTAAATCGATCTGTTGGGACTACAAGTGGATTGCGTTGACAGAGATAGTTCGTAGGGTTGGGACAATGCTAAAGGAAAGGGGGAGGTCTATCAATATATTCTAGTTTGTTTCAGGATGGAAAGGTTGGCAGTCGTGCAGAACCCTCACATCTGCAGTCCACACAGGGACTGGGCCACTTCCTTGTTGATGAAAGGTAAAGGTTCCCTTGCTCGAAAGCCAGTCGAATCCGACTCTAGGGTTGCGGTGCTCATCTCCGTTTCAAAGCCGAAGAGTCAGCGCTGTCCGAAGACGTTTCCGTGGTCATGTGGCCGACATGACTAAACACCAAGGCGCACGGAACGCTGTTTTTTGTTGATAGCTGCTAGTTAAAGTGAAATAGAAAGACTGGCCTGGTAGTTAGTGAGCAAAACCCAGCAATAATAGTATCTGATCCCCGTGTTAGTAAGATGAAGTTTCCTCGAGAAAGAAAGAACCCTTCAGCTTCCCTGATCTTGCTAGGGAAGCTGCCTTTCTGAAAGCGTCAGTATAATTACTTAAGATTTCTGCTTTATTTTTATCCAGTTTCCTTTATATTGGTTCAGCATGCCAGCGATCATGAAGGGCTGGCTGGACAGAGTCTTTGTTCAAGGATTCGCTCACAATTTCCCACAGTGTTACGAGTCTGGCTTACTCAAGGTATGCAATCGGTCAAATGTGTATGCCCTTTAGGATCACCTTTTCTGTTATTTCAAAAGTCAGTATTAAGACTAGAATTCCTATTTGTGCACCCATTTTTGGAAATGAACCCCACTGAACAAAGGGTCGTGTATTCCTAAGTCAACATGCATTAATATGTGGCCGTATCCTTTGTCTGGCTTTTTCTGTCCCTAAAGCTGAAGACAGATAAACAACAATTCCTTTGACCTGTCTTCACAGCAACTCTGTAAGGTAGGCTATGATCATGTTGAGTTCAGTAGGTGGACCCCTCTGAAGGTGGTCATCATGCAAACCTCCATCTTTAAAGACACAGGGCTTTTGCACATTCACATTGTGTGTTTCTGTTGCTTCAAGTGTGTGTGTGTGTGTGGGGGGGGTCTGGTCTGCATGTATTTTGCGCCCTCTAGTGGTCAATTCAATATTACATAGGTTTATGTCTGTCATATCTTCCTGCAGATTTAAACGGGAGGTTTTTATGCTGGGTGTAAACCAATGTAATATTGATTCAGCCACTAGAGAGAGCAAAGCACATGCCGAGCAGACACCCCCCCCCCCCAAAGC